TTAATTTTTTTTTTTTTTTTTTTTTGTAAAGGTTAAGATTGTTAGACGAACACGACTCTTTTTTCTTTTGGAGTCTTTTGTTCGATATTTGAGGATTTACCAATCTATTGGCATGACTAAGTTTAGGGCATGACTCTAGCATGACTCTAATACCATGTTAAACGAACACAACTCTTCACGATGGTATGATATTGTTCACTTTGAGCTTAAGCTCTCATGACTTTGGGCTTCCCCAAAAGGCCAACAGAGAGTGTATTCTTTGTTTATATAGATTGGAGGATGTAGGACTTTTATCATCTAAGATTATTATTGTTGGTGATTGTGTTTATATACATTTTAAAATTTTTTTTTAAGGATATTAACCAACTTTTGAAAATTCAAAAGTATTTTTTTAATTTTTTAAAAAAATTTAGAGTATTATTGAAACTTGGTTAGAGGTATTTTTTAAATATTTTTAAAGATATTAATGAAATTTATTTTATTATTTTTTTTTTTAGTGTAAAAGATATTTTTGAAATAAAATAATAGTGAAATTGAAGTTTTAAGCATATTATTAAAAAAATTTAAAAATTAAAAGATATTTTTAGAGGGAGAAAATGTTCAGTAATTTTTTTTTATTAATTTAGCTTAAATTAAAACTTTTAACCCTGTTTTCCAAATTAATGGGGAGTTGACCACACAAACATAATTCAATTAATTTAAAACATATATCTCAAATAAAATGTTAAATATTTAAATTTTCGCTAAAAAAAGAAATAAAACAAAATATAGAAAAAATAAAATGATATTTTAACCCAAAAAAAAATTAATTAACTAATTAATAATATAATAGTGGGAAGTTAACGGTCGACTCGTTTGAATAAATTTCTCCCTGTTTCCATTTCACACAGAAACCAAACCCTAAGAAGCGAAGAAGAAGAAGAAGAAGAGACCATGGGGATCGCTAATCTCTCATACGAGGAATGCCGCCATAAGAGACTCGAAGAAAACAAGAAGCGGATGGAAGCCCTAAATCTGCCTTTGCTTTCTCAAGCTCTCCTCCATTCTTCCCCTTCCAAATCCTCGCCTGTAATTCCATTTCATATTTCAATATCTCCTATTACTTACGCTAACTTTGTCAATGGATTGTTGTATTGTGCTTATTTTGCTACTTGACCGATTTCACAGAGTAAGCTCGCCAAGCCTCGCGTGACGCAGAAACAACTCGTAGTTGTGAGGAGATCCAGTCGCATAGCGAAACAATCCGCCCCCGTTTACGCCGAAGTAAGTCATTCTTGCCTTATTTTGCTTGCATTTGGATGATGAGCTCAAAGTTCACTGCTGCTTGCATTGGAGAGAGATTTTAGTCCTCGAAGAAACCTCTTCTTCATTGGTTCTGTTTCCTTTTCTTTTTTGACAGGTTGTTGTAAATCGTGTGGTGATTCCTAGAAGGTAGATGAATTAAAAAACAATTAGGATAAATGACTTTCCGTATGGTTGAATCATGTAGTATTGTTACCAATGTTCATTGTTTGGGGATTATAGGATCTCCAATGCTACAGATCTTTCAAATCGAGTTTATTCTTCGGATGAAGCAAGAAAAAATGCCTTTGAAAGAGCTGAGCGATTACAATCTGGATTAGAGACGAATTATCCCAACTTTATAAGGTCGATGCTTCCATCTCATGTTAGTGGTGGATTCTGGCTGGTAAGCTATTTGTTAAGCATATACGATCTTCTTCTGTCCCTTTCTGTTAAGCTTGATGAACTGGATGTGTGATATACTTTTATATGATATTTAATCAAAAAGTAGTTGTAAACGCAGGGCCTTCCTTCTCATTTCTGCAAGACGCACCTTCCAAATCGCGATGGAATTGTGACATTAATAGATGAAGATGGAGATGAATATCCAACAGTATATTTAGCACGAAAAACAGGACTCAGTGGCGGATGGAAGGGTTTTTCAGTTGCTCATAAATTGGCTGATGGGGATGCTGTGATTTTTCAATTCATTAAACCTACAACGTGCAAGGTGATTGTTTTCCCTTCAAGTTAGTATGTATTTTTCTGAAAACTGTTTAAATGAAATGGTTCATCGTGGGAGCAAAATAAGTCATACCAAGTCTTAAAGAAAACTCATCCGATCCAAGTATGTTTTGCTTTAAGAAAACTTTGTTTGATTCTTTGGAAATTCTCAACTCCCAAGTCACAAATGATCAAAAAATTTGTAATCACTCGTTTCATGAGCTCAAGCTCAAGTCCAACATTAGCATATATTGTCCGCTTTAGCCTTTCCCTTATGGGTTTCCTCTCAAAATTTTAAAACGCATATGTGAGGGAGAGGTTTCCATGCCTTCATAAGGAATGTTTTGTTCTCTCTACAACCGATGTGGGATCTCACAATCCTTGGTTGGAGAGGAGAACGAAACATTCCGGGTGTGGAAATCTCTCCCTAACAGACACGTTTTAAAAACCTTGAGATAAAGCCCAGAAAGAAAAGCCCAAAACAGATAATATCGGATGGCGATGGATTTTGGCGATTATAAAACACAAGTTTCATTTTTCCCCTACAAGTTCATAGATTTTTCCTATTACTTCTGTTTCAGGTGTACATCTTTAGAGCGAATAGTTCCAGAAAAGATAGCAATTCTAACAGTAGCTAAATGACTGACATTTTCATCCCAACTCAGGTAATCTCTAAACAAAATCCCTTGCTAACACACCCATTTGAGTTCCCCATCAAAAACTAGAATTCTTTTTCTCCTTATGTATTGCTGCAATTTGCTTGAACTTTTTGAACCTAGGAAGAGCAAGCCTCCCTCTGATCTGGGTTGGTCCCTGTTCTTTTACTCATGTTTAAAACCACAATCTCCTGCTGGTTATTCTAAATTATTAAGTGCCATTATTCATTACAGGCAAGATGTTGCCGGGTGGAACGTGCACATACATAATGGCAGCTACTTTTTTTTGTCATCTTGGTTTTGGAGCACAACGGCAACCTTTCTCTTGTACAATCTGTCTCTATGAAGTAAATGCAAACACTTTGTATGTTAAAGTGCTTGTCTGCTGTAGTGGTACCTCTCTTCTTCTCTCTTTCTCTCTCACCTTTAGTTTAGTTTAGTTTACGCTATATTGTTGTGAACGGGTAGAAATTTGACTGATTTTGAAGGAGCAGACTTGTACGAGCAAAGAAATTTGTTAAGGATTGTTGGGCGTGAGTCCGTTGGCTAATTTAAGGAATGATAAAAGGTTTATAAGTGAAGGAATACATCTCCATGAGGCCTTTTGGAAAGTCCAAAAAATAACCACCAGAGCTTATGCTTGAATAATATCATACTATTGTAGAAAGTCGGAATTTCTAACCGAAAGAAATAGATTCTAGAGAAGGCAATTTAGACATGTTGAAAATTTTTAAAAGTGAAAATATATTTTCACGTAAAAAAAATTTGATTTTGTATTGCTTAATCTATTAGATATTTTTTGAAAATTAATTAACCTGCTTATTAGTTATAAATTAAGGCTGAATTAGATTTAAAATTTTATTTTATAATTTTGAATTCGTATTAATATATCTAGCCAAAAAAAAAATTGAAAAAAAATTGAAAAATTTATTATACCAAAGTTTTAAAACCTAAGACATATTAACTTTCATATTAATCATGAATTAAAATGTATATGATATAATATTCAGATTAATTAATATTAACCACAAAATTACAATAAAAGAAAACTAAAATCGACTTCCAAAAAATGTTTTTGAAATATTTTAAAATATTTAATTAGGCTTGAAGGAAAAAGAACGTTTATAATTTTTTAAAACGATAATTCATACAATTTGTCGTTAATTTTCTTTTTTTAAAAAAGGGCATTTCATTTCAGGTCAATTTATTGGTGTTATTTCAACTTTTTGAAGAAAAGAAATAAAAATGTCTGTATTATAGAACATAATGTTCAGACAAGAAATAATAATAATAATAATAATAATAATAATAAAATGTGATTAATTTCCATTACTTTCTAAAGTTACCAAACCCAATATTTTGGTATTATGCCATCTGACAACCATTATGTTCAAAAATATTAATTATGATTATACCAACAACCTTTGTGTCTATTAATCAACCAAATCAAAAGAATATATTTTTATGTTAGCTGTGAGGGTGACAGTGGCCTTAGTTTATTTAGAGATTTAGTTAAAGAAATTTAACATCTACCTTGTTTTATCCTAATTAATTCTAAGGAGAAATTTAGTACTTTGAATCTTTCGCGACTAGACAAGTCACTTGTAGAATGTCAGATTACTAAGTTTAAACTTTCCACTTCATTGAAAAAGGAAAGAGAGAGAAGTGAAACCTAGCGAGCTTTCTGCCGTTCGACCACTACATAAGCCACTTTAGGAGAAACCTCTTTGAGCTCCCAAGTCTCCGAGTTAACCTGCACTTTTTTTTGAAGAATCCTGCACCCGGCCTTACTTACCACTTAAAAAATGATTCAATTTTAAAAGTTTGTGCATCATATATATCCTACGAATTGAGCTAAGCCCAATTTGACCGTACATTTATCTCGAGAAAAGGGTAAGAAAGATCCATGAATATAACACATACCAAGAACAGTACTCCCAATTGTGTAAAGGATATTGCCTTTCTTTGCCAAATTTGAATTCTCAATATCTGCAAGGTTATTGTCTCTCTCTCTTATCTCTCTTCATCTCTCTTTCTCACTCCTCCTGGAGATAAATATGGGAGAAGTCAACGATATAACAGTTTTACATCGTTGGAAGGTAATAGAGATAAAATATAAAATTGCTTTAAATTTGTATCTATTATTAGGAGTTTTGCAAGTTTTTAATTTGAATTTGGTCAAGTTTTTGCTGTAAGATAGGACAGTCTGTGACGGTAGTTTCTGGCCATTTTTTTCTCCTCCAAAAGCTTAATTTAAGAAGGTGCAAAGAAGGCAAAAAGGGCAGACATCCCCAATTCTCTTTCAAACCCTCTAATCTTCTCATCAATTCCTAATGATTTGGTAATGTCCTTAAAACTAAAGTTTTGAATTGGGTTTGTTCTTCAGATTCAGAATAAGCAAAGGAATTGATCTGTCGAGAAAAACCTCTCTGAATTTAAGAGTTATGGACATCCACAGGCATCAGAAGATCAAAGAGAAGTACCTTGAAGAACAAAGTCCAGCTTCCTCATCTCCTTCTTCCGCATCTTCATCGCCTTCTCATGAATTTTCCTTCTCAGTTTCACTCCAAACAGACAAAACCAAAACCCCATCTTCTTTCACCATTGATTTGTCTCCAGCAGATGACATCTTCTTCCATGGCCATTTGCTTCCTCTCCACTTCCTCTCTCATTCGAGAGCCCCTCCCCACTGCTCAACAAACTCCGTTGAAAGCTCTGCTCTTCCCATTGGAGACCTGCCAAGTGACAAGGAGCCTAACAAAGAGATGAACAACTTCACCAATTGTAAGAGCGATGAACATTATCAAAACAGCAACAGAGATACAAGAGAAAAACACAAGGCAAGATCTTTCTCTTTGCTTGGTTTAAGGTGGAGAAAGGGGTATGAAGTTGAAGAGGAAGAATCTAAAGAGAAGCATCTCAAACAGAAGTTCGGATTCAATTTCAGCCATTTATTGAAGAGATATACGAAAATGGTGAGGCCATTTTTACACCTTAGAGGGAGAAGAGATGATATGCAACAACTCCACGGACAGTCTTATTCATTTTCAGGTAATTTTAGTTTTAGAAACAAGCCAGAACAGGGAGGAAGAAGAGGTGAGCTCTCAGCTCCAGTTTCCAAGAAAACATCTCCAATAAATACAACACTTCCTCCTTCCAATAATGATAGCACAATGGAGGAGTTGCAGACAGCAATTCAAGCAGCAATTTCTCAGAGAGTTAAATGTTAAGGGCATACACAAAGGATAGATATTGTTCATATTCTGTTTCTGTTTTTTAGAAGTTATTCATCATACTTACTTTTCTGCATTAATGTGGTATGTACGAGTATATAGACAAAGAGATATCAAATCAGTCCAGAATATAATGTTCATATTTCAATATTTTTTGATCATGTAACTTAAGAGGTGTTTTATTTGACGGGATGTTCAGTTTTTTGAGTTGTTTATATTTTATGCTTTCTTATTTTGACAACTAAATATAGTAGGTCAGGTGGGATTAGGATTAGCTGAGACGTGCACAAAATTAGTCTGAACCCTCATAGGTATAATAAAAGAAGATTGTTCAAAAGTATATTAAGTTTAGACGTACGTTTGTATTACAGTGGTTACTGAAACTTATAGTGATATGAAAAAAGAAGCTCTGATTTGAAGAGAGTTCATAGTTAACATTTTGGTTTTACAACTGAGGCATGGCACTCTGCAGATAAGGATACAAAAAACGACACAAGAAAAGGTGATTGATCTACTAACCTTCAAAAGAAAGGAAAATGTGAACCAATCTATCAGCGACCTTGTGATCTCTCATATAATCGAGTGGCCATGAGCACAGGCTAAATCGAGCAGCCATCCAAGTTTGGACCCGCAAATACCCCTCTTCTGCCAGCGCTGATCTCTCCTTTTCGTCTTTTTGAATCATTTATAAGCCACACAAAACCACAAAAAACTTTGTTTTTTGAATCATTTGTAAGCCAGACAAAAACCACAAAAAGTTTTGGAAGCAGGTACAAGTTCAAAAGAATTGAGTGGGGAGGATTATTGAAAGGAGTAGTCCCACGTTAGCTAATTAAGAAGAAAATCATGGGTTTATAAGTAAGGAACACTATCTTCATTAGTATGAGGCCTTCTTAGAAAACTAAAAGGAAAACCATGAGAGTTTATACACAAAGTGGATAATATCATACAATTGTGGAGAATCGTGATTCCTAACATGGTATCCGATCCATACCCTTTACTTAGTCATGTTAATAAAATCATCAAATGTCGAACAAAGAAGTTGTGAGCCTTGAAATTGTAGTCAATAGTTACTCAAATGTCGAATAAAAAATGTATTTTGTTCAAGGGATCCAAAGAAAGGAGTCAAGTCTCAATTAAGGGGAGACTATTCGAGGGCTTCATAGGCCTCAGAGAAGGCTCTAGGTGTACTTTGTTCGAGGGGAGAATTATTGAGGATTATTGAGACCCACGTTGGCTAATTAAAAGGAAGACCATGAGTTTATAAGTAAGGAACACTATCTTCATTGGTAGGAGACATTTTGGAGAAACCAAAAGTAAAGCCAGGAGAGTTTAGGCTCAAAGTAGACAATATCATATCATTGTAGAAAGTTGTGATTCCTAATATTGAGCAGATTCAATAACGGGCTCCCACCGAACAAATATCAGTTTCTCTGCCACACCCATCCCTTGCTTTCTTTTTAAAAAAGAATCTAAACCATAAAGAGACAGTGAATTTTTTTCCATAGAGATTAGCTTATTAGCTATACAACTTCCCAAGCATAATGATGTTGAGAAAGGAAAACTTGCCTGAAAACATTGCTTCAAACACCAGGGGGCAGGGTCCCCGTATCAAAACAAGTGAAATCTCTGAAAGGAGAGGGCTAATGGGGTCAAAAAGGTGTGGGGTCAAGTGAGATAATGCCTTGGACATTCATATATAATATTGATAACCCCAATTACCAATACTATAATAATAAGAACAATAATTCAGAAAGGGCACTAATGGCTTCAACAACAGTTGATATGATTATTTAAATTGGAAGATATCAAAATGAATAATTTATATGCTAAAGGTGTGGGCGACTGACAGGAAAGCTACCTTTTTCAATAAGAACTGCTTTCAGTCTTTTCAACAATCCCCCTAAGCCTACAATGCATTTATTAGTACACCGCGTGTATATGTGCATGTGTGACCGAGGCGCCTGTGCAGTCTTTAATAAGAAAATCCAATATGGACATTGAATTTCATTGCCAGATATGTGAATGAATGCCATTTTTCTAGGATCAATGAAAGAGACCACTACCCGATCCTTGCCCTGCCATCCATCAAAGACAGCCCCCAGAGAAAAAAAGTGATGGCTTGTGGGGTTCGTTCTCAGAATTTAAGCTTGTGGATGACCACATTTATCTCATAGCATGGTTAATCAATTGATATAATGCAAAAAATCAACACAAAGCTCTAAGAGGACTTTTATCAAACACTTGGCATGCATAACCCATCGAAAGCAGCGCTGGATTCTATAACTTTTCTTCAAATCAACTTCTTCCAGATGGATCAAATATTAGATTCCTCACCCCAATGTTCTTTTTTCTTAAACACACTTAGAAGAATCAATTATCTAAAATGGTTTAATCGAATCCAATGAACAGAAGACAGTACGAAAGAAAGATTAAAACAGATCATCAAATTTTGAACAATAGAAACAATCTCGAAATCAATTAACAATCAAAACCAAACAAGGATAAGTGGATCCAGTGACTACAAGTGCAATGTGGCCATTAAAATTATGGTTACCTCGACTTCAGATTCACTCTACCCATAACTTTATTTTTCAAACGTTCTTTGTGGGAATTGGGATCATGACCTTTTTACTACTTGTCGCCTAGATAAGCAACAGGAAGCCATGGCCGTTCGCAGCGATTGCTCCCAACAAATTCCTAGTACAGTGAGTCGAATTAGGGCTGTACACCGCTTAATTGGCCTATTGGAGCAATCTCACTTTGCAGCAGCTCAATAACCCATGAATTGATCTACTCTGGTTTACAATCGTTTTGAGTTTGGATTTTTTTTTTTTTTAAACCACTCGAAATTGAATTGGATTGACATTAAAATAGTGTTCGGTTGAGTCGGGTTAAATTGTACACTATTTTCGGTTCGTTGAGTTGAACCGACCAAAAGATGTCAACTCGTAAATTAAACTAAATTTTTTTATTTTCTAAAAACTCAACTCAACCCACTATCATAAATAAAATTGAACTCAAATAAAATGGTTTGGGTTAGGTAGGCCAAGTTGATCGGGTAATCAAATCATATGAACTCCCATAGTACTTCTCGGAGCTCTCGAATAGCCTCGACTCCTTTCTCTGGACCCTTCGAACAAAGTATACCCTTTATCGATATGACTACGTTTTGGACATGGTTCTCTACAATTGTATGATATTGTCCACCTTTGAACATAAACTCTCATGACTTTGCTTCACGCTTCTCTAAAAAGCCTAGTAACAATGTAGATAGTATTCCTCACTTATAAACCTATGAAACATATTTAATGATGAAGTTCTTATGATTGAACACCGAAAAGGTGTACCTTATTGGTATAAGTAGTAATTTTCAATTTTTAAAAATTTTTCATAATCATGACAACTCTCATTCGAATGTGACATTCAGTTCATTCACGTACCCCTCGTTTATTTAAGCTACAATAATACCCTCCAATTAATTTCTTTTTCAAAAATACATTTACAGATGGTCTTTGATGGAATTTGTTTAGTAATTTATTTCAAAAATACGTTCCAACTTTTTCAATACAATATTCCGTTGAATTTCAACTTTTTTTTAATAAAAAATTAAAAAATATATTTACTACGAGTACTATATTTAAAAAATACCAATAAAATTTTAAAAGCATTAACCTCCTTAACTTTTATTAAAAAAAAAAAAATTATTGTTCGTCAATATATAGAAGAAAATCGCTCATCCACATTTCATAAATTATCTCCAAAATTTTTAATATTACTTTTCAAAATTCATGAGTATTACCGTGTCCACGCATTAATCATAAGAGCATTTTTAGACTTTTAAAGATATTAAAACATTGGAATATTGAAGACAATTTTAAAGAGAGTTTAAAGAATATTTTTGAAATAAAATATTAACATTTTCCATTCAAATTATTTTTTATTTGGTAAGTGTCAGATGAAAGTCTCACATCGGCTAATTTAAAAAGGATGTGAACATATGAAAGAATATTATCTCCATCGATGCGAGACCTTTTATCATACTGGACAGGAATATTTTTTATTTTTTATTAATTAAAAGATTATTAATGATTTTTGTAAAAAAAATATTAATTTTATCTTTTTTTTATTATTATTATTTTTTTCTTTTACCGGACTTCTCAACTTTCGGTCCTTTCGTTCTGGTTCCGCAAAGAAAAGTTTTCGACGTTTCGCGTATCACGTGCTGTTCTTGTTCTGCAAAATCAGAATCAGATAAGTGGCGGAGGAACATTCCATCGAATAAAAGCGAATATGCTTTGATTATGCCAACGGTTTATGTTCTTCGCGGTTCTTTCATACACGAGTTTCGTTTGCATATCAAATCAGGCTTCCAATTATGGCGTGATCGCTCTCTGATCAATGGAGTCTTCAGGTCGTTCATTACTCAAAATCCATATTGTTGTTAGCTTCTTTCTTTGCATTGAATTGGCTCACTGCTTCTACATTGATTAGGTCGGTGGTTTATCTATCTGGGTTTCGTTTAATAATTGATTAATTGAACTGATTGATTCCGCTTGTTCATGAGATCGTAGTCTTGAAATTTTGTGATCTGGGTTAGTTGTGTGTATAGCGTGCTTTTCTCTTTATTTCTAGGAGTTCTGGAGATATATGATTGGGGATCATTGAGCTAAAACATTGTACGTACAATTTTATGGGGGAGCTTGTACAGGTTGTTATGTGATGGCCAAAGATTTTCAAGTTTTGATTAGGGTGATCTGAGGAATCACAGTTTTTGGACGATGAACGCTGTGGGGATACTAGGTAGCTACATTTCGAAGGGCGTTTATACCGTTGCTGCGCCATTTCATCCGTTTGGCGGAGCTGTGGACATTGTTGTAGTTGAACAGCAGGATGGTAGTTTTAAATCATCGCCTTGGTATGTACGGTTTGGGAAATTTCAAGGTGTTTTGAAGGCAAGGGAGAAGCTGGTCAATATAATTGTAAATGGGGTTGAAGCTAATTTTGCGATGTGTTTGGATCATAATGGAGAAGCTTATTTTTTGAGGGAAGTTGATGTTGAAGGAGAATCTGGACCTTATCCTGAGGGGAAATTGCTGCATGAACTGAATGGTGGGCGGATCCTCAGTTCACAAAGTTGCAAATGTGATGCTAGGAGTTCGATTGATGGGATTGAAACGAGTAAGGATAATGGGAAGATCCTGATGAAGACTAGCTCTCGACAACGGATACTTGGATTTGTTTGGGGTCGTAGTAAAACCGTTAAAGAAGATCATCGTGAGGATACATCTATTGCAAGGATAAACTCACTGGAGTGTGCTGAGATGGCAGCTGATCTTTTAGAGGTTAGGTGGTCTACCAATCTAAGCAAACAAAAGCTTGAGAAATCAGATTCTTCCAAGTTTACTTCCACTGATACTTCAAACAGCAAAGATGAAGAAAAGTTGAAGAGAAACGATGGGAACAACCACGTCGCATCAGCAGTCGAAGGTATCATGGGAAATAATCTCGAGAAAAACTGTGATACCTGCAGAGAGCACATAACCAATGGCTCTCAATTACCATTGGAAGACGTAGAGCTTAGAGAAATATCAAGTTTAAATTCCAAGGATGGAGTGGTCGAAACTTCCATTATCGGGGAAAAGGCTTTCGACGAGACATATGAAGTGAAATCTGCAGCAATAGATACTGTAAAGAATTCCAAACATACTGTTGATGCGATGGGAACCATCCCTGCAAATGCAAATTCCAAATCCCAAATTTCATCGTCAAAGAACCGTGATTCATATAACGGACACAGGGAGAACTTTATACGAGAGCGCTTATCTGATGAAACAAATATTGTTTCACAAGTATTCAGTAATTCTGAAGACAATAGTGAACCTGATGCAGTCCGATCCTCAATGTTCTATGAAACTTCCAAGAGCTTAATGTCGACATTGGATGATTCAGTGGTACTGACTCATAAATTCTCCCACCTGGCCAACGGAGGATCCGGGATCGCTAGAGTCCATACTGAGGGATTGCATGTGACAACTGAAGTTCAGCCGGAGGTAAGCTCTATTCTGACGTTAACAAAATTCATTCATACATATGTTCCATTAAGCGACGCAGGATTGTAAAATTCAGAGCCTAGTTCTAGCATTTTTACTGATACAGAGAGTTAATAGAAAGAATCTACCATGATCTGTTAAAGTTTGAAAAGTTCACTAACCGAAAAAGTTGAAGTCCTTATGAACTATTCTCAACAATTAGATCATTGTAATACTTCTGTCTATGAAGTAAACACAATGGACATATCAAGATCTGTTAAAGTTCACTAAATTCTTTTTAATTAGCACTGACATATAAAAAATTTAAAATCAGGATACAGATTCTAGCATGGTAGCGGAAGATTTTGATCTAGAGACTGAAAAAGTTGAAGTCCTTATGAACTATTCTCAACAAGTAGATCATTGTAATACTTCTGTCTATGAAGTAAACACAATGGACCAAGGAAAGTCACTGACACTCGAAGCTGCCTATTCTCAAATAGTCTCCACAGAAGAAAGGCCTGGTTCAGTTAAAGAATTGAAGTCTGATAACATAGTTTCAAGTTTCACCTCGGACTTTCAAGATGACGAAAGTGTGGATGGAAGTGTCACAAGCAAGTTCCAAAATTCTTTGAATTCTATTGATAATAGAGTCATAACAAAGGAAAGCCATATAATTCCATCATCAAATTCAGATGATGAAGAATTCCTTTTCAGTAATTTTGATGTTTCAGAAACCGAGGTAAATGGGAATGTAGGGTCAGACAGCCACCATTACAGTGATAAAGAAGAGTATCCATTAGTATATCCAAGTAGCACTGATGAAGAGGATAGATTTGTAACTAAAAGTTTTGAGACATGCACTTCTATTGATAGTCATGAGATCTTCAGTCAGGGGATCGCAAGTCCCATCACGATTCCTCAAAGCCACGCAATTTCTGATACAGAAGTTGATCGTCTGGCAGCATCATTACCCAATATGCAGGCCGATATTAATAATTCAATTGCCTCTGAGATCAATCATCCTCTAAGCCACTCTGTAGACTCAAATTCCAAACCATTAAAGTGGATGGAATTGTGTAAAGATGGTTCAAGCTCCAAGCTTGGTGGAGATGGAGAAGAGAAAGCGGCAGAGGAATGCTCAAAAACCAAAGAATCCTTGGCTTCAGAAGAACAAAGTCTTCTTCCGAATTCTACAGTGGGTAAGAGACCTATGTTCCAATCAACCCGAAAGCTGATATGATAATTTTAATTATATCAACACTTTAACAGATATCTTATTGTAAAAGTTTACCTTTGAGTACTTTCATAAAAAAATTGTAAATGAGTTTAGGCTCTAAAGTATATACATGATCCACCGTGACTTTTAAGGATTATATTGCTTCCATTTTTTTCTGTGATTTATTAACCTGCACGTTGTATATCTTTAAGAACAGCTTTGTTATGTTATAAAGACTCCTTTAGGTAAACTCTTGCCCCCTTAATAGTTAGAAAAGAGAAGCACTTGGTTTATCCAAAAGTGATGCTATTACTTCTCGGGAAACACAACTGTAGGGAACACGCTTAAAAGTTGGCAATCATTCCTTATGGAGTGTGGTTGCCTCTCTTTTATTTATTTTTTTTGTGAGGATCATTATAGTTCAGAACATGAATTTATTATCCATTATGAAACATTGTTATAGTCGTTGACCCTATTGAGAAACTCTTACAGGTAGTCCAGCAGAAGCAACGGCTGTCCCAGTTGGAAACTGGAAACTTTGGCCTTTCTCTTTCAAAAGATCTAGTTCTGGAAAAGTAACTCCATCAGCTGTTGATGGTTACACAGATTTTGATACTAAGAAGGGTTCAGATAGGAACATAGGCGTGGATGGAGAAGTGAGCATCTTTAAGCGCAAAGCGGAGAAAAAGATGGTTAGATTCATCTCGCCAACATCTAAGCAGCTGGCATCCTTAAACCTAAAGGAAGGGGGAAACACGGTAACTTTCACATTCTACACTGCAGTGCTGGGGAAACAGGAGGTCGGTTTTCTCTTTATAATTTGTCCTTTTTTTTTTCTCATAGGATTCTGGTGATTTCAGCCTTCCCTGTTTTATTCCTTCCTTTGTTTCCCATTCACGTTTGCATTTCGTGTCTGATTATGTTCCTCAACAGGTTGATGCCAGGATTTATTTGTGGAAATCGAATACTCGCGTAGTGATATCAGATGTGGATGGAACAATAACAAAGTATGGTTTTTCATCCTAGTGATTTTGAATGTGGAATTCTGATTTAAGCATAGAACTCATATTTTGGATTGTTTAATCAAGTTCTTGGCTACTTTCTAATCTTTTTCAGACTGAAAATATTTCACTTGGACTAGTCATTAGTATCTTTCAATGATTTAGTTACTAAAATTAACATCTGCTGGAATCTAGTTTCTTGGATACTTGAGAGTTATTTTCTTTGAATTATTCACTTGGTGATAGGAAGATTTCTCTCTTGTTAACTTCATCATGAACAGACGCTAAACGTTTGTGAACGAACTAAACATGGTAGATAGCTCTTCAACACTTTCCAATTTCCAGGATAAAATTCATTAGTAGGAAGTTTTTGGGGACACAAGCCAACTATATCGCCAGTGCAGGACGACAACTAGATTTCCTCCTCAAAATTCATGATAGTTAGGAATCAGAAAAGTCCTTTGTTCTGTTGGCTGTGCGGAGAATGTTTGTTGAATTTTATTTTTGGAGGAGTGATGTCAAAGAAGAGAGGTACCTTTTGGAAATGTCTGGTTTCAGCAGTTTGTTGTTTGGTCACCTGTGTTGACAGAAAAAAGAAGACTCTTATTGTCAATTTTAGGATTTCTTCTGTACCTACGTACTCTAGGTGGATTCCCCTTTGACAATTTGTTATTACGTCGGTGAACGTCTATCCGCTTTCCATTTTCTTAATAGTTCTTTTCTTAATTATCATATTTTTATTTTCCAATGGAAATTGTAGCATTTCATGCAGTAAATTCTCCTAGCTTCTTTTCTATCGTTTGATCAAATCTAGCTTACTCGTAGCACAATCTATTGAGTTCTTTGTTGTTTGCTACAATTTTTTGACGCAATAAATAGCTTAGGCTCGCTTTGATAACAGTTTAATTTTTTTGTTTTTAAAAAATTACACTTGTTTTCTTAGATCGGATGTTCTAGGTCAATTCATGCCCTTTGTTGGAATGGATTGGTCACAAACAGGCGTCACAAATTTATTTTCTGCTATTAAGGTATGTTTTATCTCACCCTCATGGAGTTGGATGATCGGCTTTGATGAAATTATGATGCAGTGAACTCTCTACAAATCTTTGTATTTTCAGGAAAATGGATACCAATTGCTTTTTCTTAGTGCACGATCAATATCTCAGGCCTATCACACCCGCCAATTTCTTTTCAACCTCAAGCAGGTAATGTATTCACTATTCAGTGCTTAACTTCTTTACTTAATATGCACGCTTGATCTTTACTTGGTTTTCATCAATGCAGGATGGGAAGGCTTTGCCAGAGGGGCCTGTTGTCATCTCCCCTGATGGCCTTTTCCCTTCACTATATCGAGAAGGTTACTGCCTTTTATCCCATATCTTTTCGTTTGAACCATAACATCCGTCCAGTTATGTGACTATGCTTTGAGATTGACCATCCAATACTTCTTCTTTGAAGTCTAGATTTTAGTATCCTTCCCCTTAAATGTTAGTTTAACAGAGTCATGTGGACCCTTGAGCCTTTTAGTACATGGGTGACTATGCTACTTGGTGTGGGTGTGCGGGGGCGGGGGTGGGGGCGGGGAAGAGCATGTATCTATGTATGTATATAGGCCTGCTTGGATTTGTCACTAACACCTTACAGCTTATTTCCTTCCTCTCAGTTATTCGGCGGGCTCCTCACGAGTTCAAGATTGCATGCTTGGAGGTCGGTTTTCCTTCTATCCCCTGATAGTTTCATTGTATTTAAACTGATACATATTTTACATTTTTCATTCTCATGTTATGATGAGCTGTGCTTTCTTGGATGCATGACTGTTCAAGTTGAAAATATATTACTTGGATATTAAGCATCTTTTATTCACGCCATCGTTCAAATACGAAAACTCGAGTATCATCTGTCTCACATGGGTTCATAATAAAATGACTCATAATCTGCTTTTTATAACTTACAGAGAATCAGAGAACTATTTCCTCCGGATTGCAATCCATTTTATGCTGGCTTTGGAAACAGGGAAACGGATGAATTCAGCTACCTTAAAGTTGGAATTCCAAAGGGGAAAATCTTCATTATTAATCCCAAGGTGATTGATCTGAGAGGGCATCAGCATAATGTTATTTGGTAGCATCAAAATTCAAAAATGTTCATAATGGTTGTAGGGGGAGGTTGCTGTAAACCGTCGCGTCGACACAAAATCTTACGCTTCGCTTCACACCCTCGTCAATGGCATGTTTCCACCCATTACCTCGTCCGAGCAGGTTGCGTAAGCTTTAAACCGAACTTCAACTAATTCTACATATACTTTTATCAAATCAATTCCTTGGTTGCTTCACAGGAGGACTTCAATTCATGGAATTACTGGAAATTACCACCTCCCTTGATAGATTTTTAATGTTGTCTCTTTGAAATATTCTCGTTAAGTTGGAGATCCTTGAATATGGGCTTCACCTGTGCTTGGTTAGTAGATTTTGATTTTCATTACCTATTTTATGCCATATGCTGAAGTCTTAACATGTGGTGACATGCTCCAGGTGATTTCCCTTGCAAAATTCATTGGTAGAGGTTATTAAAACTTCTGGATCAGTAGCTTTGATCCAACCAGTTGGTTCGCACCAAAATTCATGAGCAGAATCAGTTCATATTTCATGCTGATCACTGCGAAGTTGATTTTTTTTTTTTTTGTGTTGCATGATGGATATAGTATTATTGTACAGTCTGGTGCTTCCATCCAACAAGAGTTTAGCTTTTGTAGGTATGTAAGTTAAATGAAGGTAAATAATTAAGCTCCATAAATTATTTATTTATTTCCATTGAGGGACCTTGAATGTGAATAAGTTCCCATCTTGATGGAGATTTTGTTTTTCTTATAATTATCTTACCTTTGGAGATTTTGTTTTTCTTATAATTATCTTACCTTTGTGTGTGTATATATATATAGATACACCTCGTATTAATTATTTCTTCGTGATGATTTGGTTGGTATAATCTATGAGTTTGTCAAGCTCAACTCAGTTTCATAGAATGGATTAATTGAACTTATAAAATTAAAAGTTTTTGTTATCTCTCTTATGTTGAGAAAACCATCTTTTTTATCGGCTCTCGACTAAGTGACATATTTAGATGCCTTTTCATTAAGAACTTTTATCGAGGATTTTGTAGTTTTGCCTTGTACTTGTATTTTTGGGTTTATACGAGCATTTGAGCTAAACTTGTTTGTAACATTGTCGTTTCCTTTGGGATTTTAGATACAAATCCTCGATTGTTGAGTTGAGTTGATTCTCAAACATTAGAGAAGAAGAATTGTAGCTCTTTTTTTTAGTGAGAACACCGTTACTGATTTTGTCGTACTTGATCAATTCATTTGCTTTATTCTCGGCCCAAGCTTGGAGTTTGGAGACAAATATTGTTTGTTAAACTAAAGCTTTGTTAGTTGGGAGGAAATGTCTGTGGATGAAAGAAACCGTATTTTATAGCATCTAAAAAAAGGAACTTTTTGACTTTATAACCTTATTCCTCGAATCAATACCGTAAAAAATAAATATAAGGATTATGAATAATACTTGTTTTTCTACTTTGCAAAAAAAAAAAAAAAAAAAAAAGAACAATAATTTGCCCTATGGAAGATGCAAAGCATTTGCTATACGTTGAATTCCCATTCAAAACATTGTGAATAAAATAAAATTAAAGTACAAATCAACTCAAAGAATCTCATAACATAACTTTAAAAGGACATAGAATAAAACATTCTACACATGAAACATATAAAACATTCTAGATATGCTGACGTAGTTTTCATTGTACATTCAGTAAACAACCTCGACCATTATCTCGTGTGTGTTTGTCGTTTCTCGAAAAAAAATATTTTAAAAAATGTTGAGTATTAAAATATCGTGTAAGTGACTACATTATTAGAGTTAGAATTTGCAAACACGTGTGATGTCCCACATTGATTTGGGAGGAGAACAAAATACTCTTTATAAGGGTGTGGAAACCTTCTCCTAGCAAATGTTTTTTAAAGCCTTGAGGCGAGAGGGAAAACCTAAAAAGATAATATCTGCTAGCGGTGGATCTGGGTCATTACAACATGTAACATGGTTTATGTATTTTATAATAGTAATTATGTGACACTCGAGTGAAGGAAATATATAGAAATGAATTGAGAACTCGAGTGAAGGAAATATATAGAAATGAACTGAGATTGAGATCATATAGACCATATCCGAATGAGAACGATCATGAGGATAAGATGACTAAGAAAGACTTAAAAACATTGGAATTCATCCTCAATATCAACAAGTTGTACCTTCTTTTCTGGTGGTTCAATCATAAGGAACCTCTAGATTAAGCTTGCTTTGCCTACATGTTGCATGAGACATTTAAATTTATTAAACTACTCAAAATAACATAATATTTAAAGATGGAAGATTCAATTAAAACATTAAAACTATTAATACGACCGAGAATGACTTTTTGTAGCCGATTCAATATTCTTACTGTATTTAGGACTTGACTAGATTGAGAGCTGAGAACATAATTTTACAAGATGAAATTCATTATTTTCGATATAGGGTAAGTAGATGAGTGATTTCCTTAAGTTTTCAAAACTTGAACAATGGGCCACATCCTCTAACTGGCCGAGAGAGGATTTGTTTATGGTTACATCATAAACAAAATTTTCATTATAAAATTGATGATACTTAAGGTTTAAGATGTAATCACAAGGGTGAAATGGACTTTTGACCTAGCTACAATCATGAACAATTCGTGAACGATCAACTTGTAATGATTATATCAATGAACACAACTTGTTCTACAGAACATTATAAATCTTTTTTATAAAATTGATGATACTTAAGGTTTAAGATGTAATCACAAGGGTAAAATGGACCTTTGACATAGCTACAATAATGAACAATTCGTGAACGATCAACTTACTTGTAATGATTATATCAATGAACACAACTTGTTCTACAGAGCATAAGAGTACAACTTTAGGTCTATAGTGGAGTGATAGTTAGTGAATGAAAATTGATTCATTACGGGAAGGACTCATGCCTAAGATTCAGATCAGTATTTAAAATCCAGATTTGGCACCTGATGGCCCCGACATTCTCCTACGTCTCTGCGACATAGTCCAGTTACTTACTCTTTGCTTTTAATGCTGAACACTATCCCCACAGAGCAACACTAGTCCTTCGTTTTGTTCTCACTCATATACATTCTAGAAAATTTGGGGTAAAATGGACTTTTGACCTAACTGTAATTACAAACAATTCCTAAACGATCAATTTGTTTATAATGATTATATTAATGAACACAACTTGTTCTACAAAGCATAAGAGTGCAACTCTAGATATACAGTGGAGTGACCTATAATTAGTGAATAAAAATTGATTCATTACTGTAACAACTCATGCCTAAGATTAAGATCACGATTTAAAATTCAGATTCTACACTTGATGGCTCCGATATTCGCCTACATCCTTGCGGCATAGTCTCGTTACTTACTCTTTGCTTCTAACGGTGAAGGCTATCTACATAGAGTGATACGAGTCCTTCCGACATGCTTTGTTCTCACTCAGTCACTTTAGTAAATTACTAGGACACCCAATATAAAATTGCAGTCGCCACAATTAAAGAGTTTAATATTTTTTTTTAGTCATTGGAGCTTATATTATAATATATATGTTCATAAGATTTTCTTGTTAGTTCATAGTAATACTAACGGAATCAAATTAATATTTAATATATTAAATATAAAAGACAAAATATATTTAATTTATTTTTAAATATTAGATATTTAATAATTAATTATAATCGACATACTTTGTGATTTATTTGTGCCAATATTTTCACAAGGAGAAATTAACAAAAATAAATAAATAAAAAAACAAATCTTTATTTCCAATTACAAATTATTGATTTACAACAATTTTCTCTTTCTTTTATTTTTAAATAATTCTTTTCATCTAACAATAATCTTCCAATAAGAAATTCACCAGAAAGTAGTTTACAAGCTCATTTTTTCTGGATGATTTTACAGGCATAATCTATGAGTTTTTCAAGCTCATCTTCACTGATAAGACCATCATTATTAGCATCAGCAAAATCCAAAGCGTATTGAGCCCTGTAGTATAGATTAATTGAGCCTAGAAAACTAAAAGCTTTTGTTATCTCTCTTTTGTTGAGAAAACCATCTTTGTCGCTGTCGTAATATTTGAAAATTTTCTTTATTTTCTCTCGACTAAGTGGCTCATCAGATGTCTTTTCACTAAAAACTTTTGCCGGGGATTTTGTAGCTTTGTCTTGTATTTCTATCTTTGAGTTTATATGAGTATTTGAGCTAAACATGTGTGCAACATTGTCGTTTGTCTTTGGGATCATAGATAAAATTTTTCGATTGTTGAGTTGAGTTGATCTTCGAACATCACGGAGAAAGAATTGTAGCTCTTCTTTACTGAGCAAATAGCACGGATAAAATTTCTCGTTTTTGTCATACTTCTTCATCAATTCATTTGCTTCATTCTCGGCCCAAGTTTAGAGATTGGGCCGAGACATTGTTAAGCTAAGACTTTGTTAGTTTAGAGGAAATGTTTGAAGATGGAAGAAATCTTAAGATGGTTCCCGTGTTTATAGCAACTCAAAAAAGAAATTTTTAACTTTATAACCTTATTCCTTTTTTTAGGTGAATGGAACAAACTTGATAATTATTTATTACATAAAAAAACTTAGAATCAATATCGCTTTGAAAAAAGATGTTGCTCGAGGATAGACATAAATATAAAAATGCTTGATGTGTAATATTTACTTTAATAATTTATTTATGAATTGATTTGTTGGTATAGATAGTAACTTTCATTTGCTTGAAGTCTTTTTTAGTCATCCTAACTTTCATTTACTTGAAGTCTTTTTTAGTCATCCTATTCTCAGAATCACTCTCATTCGGATGTAGTCTCAGTTCATCATGTACTGCTTCTTTACTCGGATATCACAAGCCCACAAACTTTTGCTTTCATTTGTTTCCAAACCACATCTTACAAGGAGAGGTATCGCTCTAATACAATTTGTAACAACATATACCTAGGATTCGGATTAGGACTCAACACTTAATGACCTCGTCATTCCCCTGCATCCCCTGCAACATTGTCACATACTTACTCCTCATTTCTTAAGATGGAAGACTATCCCCACAAACTCACATGAGTCTTTATAGCATGATTTGTCCTTACTCATATGTATCTTAGGAAAATTCACTAAGCCCAACCTAGAATTGTTCCAAGTAAAACAAGCTGAACCATATAGAGTTTCTTTGATTGATCCACAAGGAAGGTGAACATTGTTGGCATAAGTTGTGTAAATTCTTTTTAATCTTTTCTTAGCTATCCTAGTTTTATGATCACTCTCATTCAGATGTGGTCTCGATTCATTCAAGTACTCCATCAACTTTCGCCTTGATTTCTCCCCGAACCACACTTACTAGGAGAGGGACCACTCTGATACCATTTGTAACAACCCATGCGCAAGATTCAGATTAGGATTCGGAATTCGAATTCAGTACCTGATGACCCTTGTAGCTCCCCATGACATGGTCATGTTACCTACTCATTCTTTCGTAAGAGAGAAGACTATCCCCATGAACCAACACGAGTCCTTCCAATATCTTTTGTCTTCACTCACATGCATCTAACGAAAATTTCTAGAAGGTCACCTAATATAGAATTCATCCAAGTAAAGCACATTTAACAATGAAGTTCCTCTGACTGAGTCATCGAAGAGGAACTTACACCTTGTAGGTATAGGTAGTAGCTTTTATTTTTTCTTTAAGCTTTTCTTAGTCATTCTATCCTCACAATTACTTTCATTGAGACGTGTTCTTGGTTCACTCATGTACCCCTCATTTACTTGATTGTCATAGTTTATGTTATTTATGACTATATAGTGTCTCTGCATGTTATCAATGTACTATGTTGGGAACATCATAGGGTCATCAGCAAACATCTAGTAGTGAGTCGTTTATCATGACTAGCTTACATATATATTGTAGTTGGTTTAGGCATCAGAGTTGTTCCCTCGTATTTATGATATTATCACAGAGGAATTTGTTTTTGTTTAAAATAAAATAAAATAAAAAAGGATGAAAGGTTTTACGTCTATTTAGAGGAAATTTTCCATAAACCATATTGTGGGGAATTTTCTAAATATGCCATATAACTTACCCATGTTTAGAATGTTTTATGTTTTTTTTTTCCTAGAATGTTTTATTTTATGTTTTTAAGAAGTTATGTGATTTGCTTTAATTTATTTTATGCTTTCACATATTTTAAATAGGATTTTATCTTTAGAAAGTTATATTCTTCTGTAACTATGAAAAATATTTTTCGTCCATAATGTTTATATTTAAATTTATCATACATATTCTATTAAAGAAATCTTCAAATACTTTTGTTCTATACTTTTAGCATAGAGCAAATACTTTGTATCTTCATTTCGACAATTACATTTCATAATTTACAAATGAAATAATAAAATCATCTTTAAAGTAGATTTTGATTTTGATTTTACGACGTAAGATTGAAGATTTTTTATGTCTGAAGTTGAAAAATAAATATTAAGCTAGATTCTAAAAACTCTTTTAAAAAATTATAATAAAAAAAATAATAATTAGAGTAATTTTCTATTCACCTCCAAAAGAAATAAGATTATGAAATCAAAAGTTCTTTCTCTACTAACTACTTGTATAGTAATTAGTTGGCATTCGCTGAACTAGGTCGCGGTCTACTAGGTTGTAACAACTTGACTTTTTAAACTTATTATAAACGATTACTACTATGGGTATGTAAAAAACGGAGTTTACTCAAGAAAAATAGAGAACAAAAATCGAATGTCCTGATCACGATCCAAGCAGATTCAAGTTTCATATGAAAAATAATAATATACGAGAGTATAAAAATACTTAATAAGTAGTCCTACTTACATGACCACTGAGGCATAAACATCCATTCATACTTATCTTAGAATATGAAGGTCTTATTTTAGTTGGTCTAAGTATACAATTAGCACTATTAACATATCTATTTTGTTATGTGCTATGAGGTTCAGAGTGATTATCATTTTTTAAATATTAAATAGATGGTTTAAGGGAGGTGGCACACAAGTTTGAGAAGCTTTCTCCGCCAATCACTGTGAATGAGATTTTTATGTAATATAAATATTTTAGGGATTAAATTGAAAATTTTATTTTAACATTTTATTTTGAGTCCATATTTCGATATGATTACATAAATTATGATAATATTCTTGTGCTTGCACCAATATCATTTTGGAAGACCAGTTAACCAAAATAATAATAATAATATAATAATAATAATAAATAAATTATTTGTTTCCAATATTATTCACAAATAGAAATCACAACATAAAATCTACGAAAAAGTAGCTTACAAGCTCATTTCTTTTTGATGATTTTACAGGCATAATCTATGAGTTTTTCAAGCTCAACTTCACTAATAAGACCATCATTATTAGCATCAGCAAAAGTCATAGCGTACTGAGCTTTGTAGAATGGATTAATTGAGCCTAGAAAGCTAAATGCTTTCGTTACCTCTCTTATGTTGAGAAAACCATCTTTGTCGCTGTCATAATATTTGAATATCTTCTTTATCTGCTCTCTACTAAGTGGAACATTAGATATCTTTTCACTAAGAACTTTTGTCGAGGATTTTGTAACTTTGCCTTGTACTTGTATTTTTTGGTTTGTATGAGCATTTGAGCTAAGCTGGTGTGCACCCTTGTCGTTTGTTTTTGGAATCTTAGATAAAAACCCTTGATGGTTGAGTTGAGTTGATCCTCGAACATCACGGAGAAAGACTTGTAGCTCTTCTTTAGTGAGAACACCATCACCGTTTCTGTCATACTTCTTCATCAATTCATTTGCTTCATTCTCGGCCCAAGCTTTGAGTATGGACATTGTTGAACTAAGGCTTCTTTATTTGGGAGAAAATTTTTGAAGATGGAAGAAATCTTAAGATGGTTAAGTATTTTATAGACTAAAAAAATGAACTTTTGACTTTATAACTTTATTCTTTTTTGAGGTGAATGGAATAAAATCTTAGAATCAATACCGTTGCTTTAGAAAAAGATATTTTCCATAGATAGATATAAATATATATAAATAGATATAAATATAAATATATATATAAATATATATATATATATATATATATATATATATATATATATATATATAATTTCCCTTTGCTATACTAATTCAGATTTATTTCGTTACTTGTTCAAAACATGTTTTTTTTATTTTTTTATTTTTAATGTTGGATATAATTTTGTTGAGTCAAACAAAAACATCCTTGTCCAACACTTACTAGATACCTTTAAGGAAACTCATATTTTGTATATGAAAATTTAATTGGTAAAAGGCGAAAAAAAATCAAATATTTTATAAAAAATCAATGTTTAAGGTATCTAAATATCAATTTATAACAAGTTTTAAGCTGAATTCATTGAATCGACACTATTATTAAAGTAAAGTAAATTTGGAGCGTGAAATATCTCGTAAAAAAAGAAGTTTAAATTTAAAGAATAACTAGAATGCGATAGATTTCACGGTATTACATGTTTAAAATATTAAATTTAATTGAAAGTATTTGTTATAAACTAAAATACAAAGTGTTTCTAATATTTGAAGATTTCCATGCACGTTGATAAAAGTTCGAATATAAGTCTTATGAATCAAATATATTTAAGAATCTTGTAGTTATATTTTATCGACTTTTTAAGACTTTTATTTAGGGTCATCCTTACATGCATGTAGATAAATGTTTGAGAAACCTGCCATTTAAATGTAGAATAAAATAAATATTAGTAAAATGAAAATTTTCACTGTTAATAACTTTCTAAATTGGAATCTCATTTAAAATATTATCAAAATATGAAATAAAACATTTAGTAAAACATTATAGACATCAAAGAATATAAATGTTGATATAAGACGTACTATACATGATGCAAACACGTACAACATGGTTTATACAGATTTTTTTAATGGGACATAAAACTTTTCATCTTAATTTTTTTTAACTGTAAGATCCCACATTGATCGGAGAGGGGAACAAAATATTCCTTATAAGGGTATGAAAACCTCCCTCTAGTAGACGCGTTTTAAAATTGTGAAGTTGACGATGATACGTAATGGGCCAAAACGGACAATATCTCCCTCTACCAACTACTTGGTATAGTAATTAGTTTCATCCACTCTGTTGAGCTAGATGACGATATACTAGGTTGTAACAACTTGACATTTCAAACATAATTATAAAGGATTACTACCATTGGTATGTAAATAATCGAGTTTACTCATTAAAAATAGAGAAATTCACAGGATTCGTGTCTATAATTATCTCCATAGTCTTACTGTACACTGAATATCTTGATCATCATCTGTAGATTCAAGTTTCATATTAAAAAAAATATAGAGGAGTATAAAAATACTTAATAAGTAGTCCTGTTTACAAGACCCGTGAATCATAAACATCTATTCATACTTATCTTAGAATACAAAGATCTAAACTTAATTAGTTTGATTATACAGTTAACATGTGGAATCTCTCATGTGTTATTACTCGTGGCTTACTCAAAGCTATCCCATGTTGTTTCTAAATTAGAGTTATTGGTGTCTTTCAATTGATTACAAGAATTTGCATGGACTTTTCAGAACCGAGGTTTCGTTCTCATTCGAAAAATTTATTTTAACATTTTGATTTATTTTGTGTCAATATTTCGACTATGATCATATTAATAGAGATAGTATTCTTGTGATTGATCCAATATCATTCAAAAAGATACATTAACAAAAAAAATTAATATTAATAATAAAGTAAGATAAATTCTTTATTTTCAAATACTTATTATTGACTTACAACTCCTTTCTCTTTATTTTATTGTTATCAACGATCGACATCAGATACAATATGAAACTCACTTTTATAAGCTCATTTCTTCTTGATGATTTTACTGACATAATCTATGAGTTTGTCAAGCTCATCTTCACTGATAAGACCATCATTATTATCGTCAGCAAAATCCAAAGCGTATTGAGCCCTGTAATATGGATTAATTGAGCCTAGAAAACTAAAAGCTTTTGTTACCTCTCTTTTGTTGAGAAAACCATCTTTGTCGCTGTTGTAATATTTGAAAATTTTCTTTATTTGCTCTCTACTAAGTGGCACATGAGATGCCTTTTCACTAAGGACTTTTGTCGAGGATTTTGTAGCTTTGTCTTGTATTTCTATCTTTGAGTTTGAATGAGCATTTGAGCTTAACATGTGTGCAGCGTTGTCGTTTGTCTTTGGGATCTTAGATAAAATTTCTCGATTGTTGAGTTGAGTTGATCCTCGAACATCACGGAAAAAGAATTGTAACTCTTGATTATTGAGCATGCCATCACCGTCTTTGTCATACTTCTTCATCAATTCATTTGCTTCATTCTCAGCCCAAGCTTGGAGATTGGAGACAGACATTGTGAAGCTAAGACTTTGTCAGTTTAGAAAAAATATTTGAAGATGGAAGAAATCTTAAAATGGTTCACGTATTTATAGCGATTCAAGAAAGAACTTTTTAACTTTATAACGTTATTCCTTTTCAAGTGAATGGAACATAATCTTGATAGTTATTATTATTATTTAAAAAAAAAAAAAACTAGGAATCTGTAACGACCCTAAATTTCCACATACTCAGAGTCGCTACTAACGTCTCATGCTCATCTATAATGCGGAAATATAACTCCTACATGAACATAATTGATAACGAAAATTTCAGAAAAAAACGTTTAAAACAACTTCTTCTCTGAAAAACACAGCTATGGTCTTACGTGTTTAAATATGAAATACTGAAATTTAGAGAAAACAAAAACAAATACAAAATAATTTAAAACAATGGAATGCAAAATAACCTATTCTAACTTAAGACTAGAAATTTAAATATGAGTCTACCCTATGCACGTGCCACAGTCTCTACTCGCGATGCCGCCGTCCTCCGTACAAGTGCACCTTGCCTTTACCTGAAAAATGAAGTGGCACACGGCCTGAGTATTTCAAAGAATACTCAGTAAGTGGCCCCGCTATAGGGGCCATGCAAATGCAAACACATGCAACCATGATTTAGGGACCTATCTCTAATCATCTTAGGGGTGGCCTCCAGTCTCGGAAAATTGGATGTGTAGTACTTCCCTACACACGACTCACACGTGCGAGTGTGAATCCCCAGGGCGCTCGCACACCCCCTGGACCCTCTGGTCAAGCTAATCTGTAGCGACGTCCGGAGGTCAGCGGAACCCCATAGTGTCATGCGCCTCATGAACACCCTCATCTGTGTGCTTTCGCACCTGTGCGCATTCGCGCTCATCATAAGGTGCGCGTCCGCACTCATCATCTCTAGGGGAAGTAGCCCTATGCTTATGAACATACAAAATGCAT